AAAGAAAGAAACAAACAAACACACATAAAATTAATGAGTGCATTTGTGAGCCGAGAGTGAAATAACAACAAAAGCGTGGCAGCTACCACAACAACATAATGCCCACGGCTAACAGCTGATATACATTATCTTATATAGCAGTATGGAGTATACATATATCATATGTGATGATGATTAAGTGCTCGCATGTAATCATTTATGTTGGCGCACGCCCCATTTGCAATTGTCGCCTTAATTAAATGCGCTTTCATAATGAATTATATGAGGCGGTTGTTTATGCAGTCGCCATGGGGTTTACTTACCCGGTAAACCACGGTCCCCTAGGGCCGTACAAGAAACGCTTGGCGGTCTTCCATTTCTTCCGTATGTGACTGTCGTTCGTTTTGCGCTGCAGTGCAGCATTTTGCAGGCGCTGCATCTCCTCCACCTGTCGCACCTTCCACGGCATGTAGATCTTCTGCTGGAACACCCGGCGGTTCGTGGCCTGGAAGCTGGCCCGCTGCTTCGATGCCGCCTTGCACGCCTCATAGCACTCCGCCCAGAAGCGATTAATGGGCTCCCACAGATGCAGCTCGATCTCGCGCTGGTAGCGATCGTAGAGTGGCTTCACCTGCGTATATATAATTATAGGTAAGCACAGTCGTCGGTGCACATATCACAAAGCTGGACAGTTAACATATGTGAGGTTTCATGTCACACTAAACGTGGATCAGTAATATCCTGTATATTCGGATACAGCTAGGAGGCGCACACTGAAATGCAATCTCCATAAAAACTAATAAATAACTGTGTTATACACGCTTTTATCAGAAAATTCGAGCTTAGACATTGATCGGTCATACCCTGTAAATGTAAAGTGTGTGAAATTGGGCGTATACCCATAATACACCCAATAAAAAAACTCCATTTGTCAAGCTGATCAACCATTACATATAAATCATTTACCCTAACTAATATACTCATGGGTCTATATAGCTATCTTTTACAGGGTATCGAGGCAGTTGGTCAAGCATTGCCACACAGCAAACCAGCTTGTTTTCGCTTTCATTCATTCGCCGCGCACAGCTTCAGATGCAGAGCGATTCGGAACGGGTATTACGAGACGGGCACGACACGTCCGGTCAGGTTCAAGTTCAATGTGGATGCAGATGCTGCTGCAGCAGCTCGAGGAAGCGCCGTTGGCTCGTGCAGCGCGAATGCAGTTTGGCCCATGGCTCTGGCCAAAAACAAGTTTTACCCGAATTCAATGGATTTTTTTTTGTTGTTGGCCAAAACACCAAAAAACAAAAACAAAAGGAAAATTATCAAATCAGTGAAACATCCGCATTTTGGGTATTCTTTACATAATGGGTCTTACAAGCCCACTTGGCTGGAGGGCAGCCCCGATGGTTCCAGGGCGATGCGCCGCGAGCCGGGTGCTGCACTGGTGGGTGCTTTAATGGCAAACGCTTTGTCTTTTTTTGACTGGTTCCAGCTGCTGGCGACGTCTCCCCACCGCTGGCTGGCGCTGTCTCTGACTCTGTCTCTGACTCTGACTCTGCAGCAATAGCTAACAAAACCAGCCCACTTTCTTGCAGCTCGCTCAGTTGCCGAAAGAAAGTCCGACGAGTCGTGAACGGGTGCGCGCGCTAAAGCATTTACGCGAATCAAGCTCCAATAAAATATTAAATATATATATATACATAAACAACATCTGCAGACCATCCTAACTGTTTGCCTCCAATGAAAGTTGTTGTTGGTCGCCTCAACTCAAATGTGCAAACCAATGTGGCTTTATCTACTCTATCTGTGCCTCGTAAGTGCTCGAATCTCGAGAGAAGATGCAGAGAACTCTATGTGAACAATGAGATAATGAGAATCTGCCAAGGGTAATCGTATGACAAGTAAATTGAGTTAGGCTATTCAGTAAATCTAGGTTTTCATCTCAAGTTTGCTGAGGTCTTGAAAGAAGGAGAGATCTAAAGTAGATTAAGAAATATTGTATACGATTGGAACTTATGTATGTGTTCCATAATGTTCACTTTTTAAGAATCTCATCATTTAGAGTAAATCCAAATAAATTGATTCTTTGTCTTGCCTTCCTCTCAAGCAAGAAGATTCTAGACCTTTCCATTTAATAAAGATTTAATAGAGCTGTACTCAAAATAAAAGCAGACAAGTTTTTTGCTGTTTGTATTGCCTAACGAGATGCAAGAAATTTACATGAGAATTTGGTGAACTGTTAGAAAATATAGGAGTAAATCTTAAAGACTATCGAAGAAGCCTGTTAAAAGCTAGTTACGCAAATATCTCCAAGTCTCAGTCTTAAATGAAAGCCTTTCGCGCATTGAAAGTTAGTCTTCCGATCTTCCGGCTAAGTAACTTTGAGCAAAGGATGTACTCGATCTCAGATACCAAGAGAAATTCAGGCAAAGCAAACGTCCACCACAACCACCACAGCCCCCCAGTCTTAACTTTTCGAGTGCATTGCGCCTGTTAGGCTAATCCGTGTAGACTCCATTGTCTGTGTGTAAAACTGTGAGCAAAACAAAAAACAAAAGCATGACAAAACGGATTACGATGCCAACTGAACCTGAATTTGGTGACGGTGTTGAGGTTCAATGCTCAACGAAGCAAACGGTTGCTGTTGCTTGTTGCGTGCTGCAAGCGTTGTTGCATGCCACGCAGCCAGCCGGCAATCGATGGCAGCCAATTATGGTATGGATGGAGAGAGAGAGAGAGAGAGAGAGAGAGAGTAGGGTGCAGCCAGAGAAAGAGGCACGTGATTACGTTATGTGTTTTCGCGGAAGCTACCGAAGCACTCAGCAATAATGCGTCATGGAGCCTCATAGCGGGTTAAAAGTTAAAGGTTGACAAACATCTCTGCCAAGTTGTTGGCAAATAGAAAAATGGTTGGGAGAAAGTTAACATAAATCATTAAGCATTTACTTCTCTTGCAGCTGCTGCCGCTGCTGGCGCTGGGCGAGCACAGTCCAAGCAATGCCACAGCTCTGACTCAACTCGGAAACAACAACACCAGCACCAGTAGCGCCAACAGCACCGAGCTGGTACCAATTGCTGAGAAACTCATACGCTATCGACGACATCCACCGCACAGCAAACGCAACAAGCATCGAAGACGCACCAAGGGACCCAAGACTAAGTATGGACCGCCCAGCTATCCGGCGGAGCCTCCGATCAGCTACTACAAGCACACGCCCTCCTTTCCGACGCATCACGAGTTGCCTGGTTTCTCGTTGGATGATTTTCAGCAGTTGAAATTCGATGGGACCGACTTCCAGATACCCGCTTCCAGCTACGAAGCGCAGTCCATGGATCTGGATCTGTATAGCCATGGCGAGCCGGATCTGTATGGCGCCCACAAGTTTCCCAGTCTCGAGTACAGCGTAGCCGACAGCCATGAATCTGCTCCACCCTCGCTGAGCTCCTACGATCACAAGCCCCATCAGAAGTACGGCGTGCCGCCGCAACATCAGAGCTTTGATTCCCCCAACTCCTTTGTGTCACATCATTACGAACCGCCGCCTGCGCCGGCACATCCACCCTCAACTAAATACGGAGCGCCCGCTGTGTCCAGCTACAGGCATTCAGCCTCCCTACCTGCTCCCGACTCCTACTCCATTTACGAGCACAAGATACCGAATTCCGGCTACCATCACAGCTTCGCAGAGCCCCCACCTAAGCCCCCAGCACATAACACCAACTTTGAGATCTCCTACTCACCGCCCGCCTACGAGATATCCACCTCTTACCAGGCCAATGAACACAGCTATGCAAAGCCATCGCCTGGTCATGGCTATGAAGCACCGCCATCGTCTCACGATAGTTATCAGCCTCCAGCTCCTGCTCCTGGTCATAGCTATGAAGCACCACCATCATCGCACGACAGCTATCAGCCTCCAGCTGCTTCACCTGGACATAGCTATCAACCACCAAGCTCTGCCCATGACAGTTATCAACCGCCAAGTCCGTCGCCAGATCATAGCTATCACCCACCTGCTTCCTCTCACGACAGCTATCAGCCACCTAGTCAGGGCTATCATCCTCCAACATCATCCCACGACAGCTATCTTCCACCAACGTCATCTCATGATAGCTATCTTCCACCCGCTCCATCGCCTCCTAATCACAGCTATCAGCCAGGCTCCTCGCCTGCTCACGATTACCAACCACCACAAGACACTCACTATGCGGAGCCGCCACCACCATCATTAGATCATGCGCCCAGCTATTCCCAACCGGACACCGAGCAGCCCGTCCAGCACTATCCGCAGGAGAACTATGCACCACCGTCAGAGGAGTTGCCACTCACGCCCAATCACAAGTTCCCGAGCTTTGATTTTCCCAAATCCAGTTACGAAGTGCCCATCTACGATCCCATACCCTTTGAGGCATCAAACAAAGATGAGCAGGAATCCTATCCGCCCATACTCCCAGACAATACGCCCAACGAGCTGCCCTCGGAGGATACCCACACCGCAGGCAGCTCTCGTACGCCAACAAAGAGTCGCAAGCGCAAGCGTCGCCCCGCCTTGGCGTCGGTCTCTAAGAAACATACGCTGGATGTGCCGGAGCTGCAGGAGGCGTACGATGCTGATGCCCAAATACATGCGAGGGATACAGATTTAGATACAGCTGCTCATGGCTCTCGCCATGTGGAGCAGAAGCGAAAGTATGTCAGCTATGTAACGCCCTCGATAAGCCCAACCACAACGACATCGACCACCTCGGCACCCTGGAGTCCCATGCGTCTCCGTCCGACTTCCAGCGATGGCTTCATACCCACGGTGGTTACAAGCACACCGCCAACGCGCAGCAGAGGTCGTGGCACTTCCCGCTTCCGCAGTCGTAATCCCAGCACCGAGGCCACCTCGACGGTGGTTACCATCGAGAAGTCTCGCTCGCAGAGCTACTACGATGGCACAATTGCGCCGCCCACCTATCAACAGTTCACGGTGGGGCGTGGTGCGAGACCAACGCGACCCACTCAGCTGCGTGGTGGTGGCACCACTCCGGCCTCTCCCGGCGGCACGGAGCGCAATGCGACGCCCAGGCGCACCACCAAAGGCATCTTCGATACGACGCTCTTCAAGACTCCCCAGAGCGATCGCGAAATGGAGAGGAAGCTCCTCGCGCTGCGTCAGAACTTGCCAAAAAATCACAAATTATATTAAAAAAGACTTCTTCTATGTGGGGACTACGAGATGGTACTATCATCGCAACGGAACACGTAAGACTACTTTGGAGCTTGGAGTTAGGTTAAGTATTAGTTTAAGACAAATTTAAATTAAATAAAAAGGAAAAAAGAAAAGAATCAAAGTGTTTTGAATAACATTGGAAGAACGTGGGGCAAAGCTTTATCACAAGTTCAACCCAGGTAAGGCTAGGTTTATTTGCCTATGACTAGATTTATAGGATATACCTTAGTCGAGTATACCCTTTGTCTAAGCTACTGCTACTTCATAAACATATTTAAAGTCAGCTACTTACCATACGTTCCATAAAGTTGCGCCACTTTTTGCTTGTGCTGTACATTTGAAAGTCATTGAAGAATACCGGACCAGAGGACGTGGATGGAAGATCAGGCAGAGTGCTGTCCAAATTGAAGGCAGAGCGGCATTTCTCCAGCAGCGCCTTCATGACAGGCATCAAGAACGAATACTCCTCCGGATTGCCAACTGGGAAGTGGAATAAAAGAGAGTGAGAGAGAGAGATGTACCATAGCTCTAAAACATGATCTCATCATGTAGTCACCTTCAATAGCATTATCGAGCGCTCGATTGATGCTGTAGAGCAGATAGGAAAGCTCGGCAGGATCCTCTGTGGAGCGACTTTGAAGTATGGCATGCAATTTGGCTGTGGCCATGGCTACAATACCAGGGTTCGGATGATGCGAGCATTTGAGCAACAGACCCAGATATAAGCGAATCATATCCGACCAATCATCCGAGGAGCCCTGCTGGAATATCATCAGGGCATCGAGTAGAGCGAGCACGCCATCCAACAGCTTGGTGGAGCACTTCTTGGACTCATCCTCATTGGAGCCAAGCACCACCAGCTCATAGACCATGCGCAGAATGTTTGAGGCGTTCTAGAAATACAAATTCAGAGATTAAGCGGAGAAAGCTTAAAGTCGCATTGAGGTAATCCACCTCCTGATTGATGTGTGTTTGACTGCCATGCTCCGAGAGATCGAATAGCGAAGCTTGCACTGCCATTTCCAAGATGCGCAGACGCAGCGACAAGTGCGAGGTGATTAGCTCATTGTTTAATGCCAGCAAATTAATGCAGCCGAGCACCTGACCGCGCTCCTGCCAGCACTGCGGATGATCGTTGCCAATGCCGCGCCAGAAAACGTTGAATAGCGTGTTTGAAACCAGATAAACCAGCTGCTCCTCGCTGTCCACATCGCCCTCGGCCATAAAGTCAAAGCCAGAGGTGCTCTAGAATGGGAGAAATATTAGATAATAGCCGTGCCATGTTAAATATAGGAATGCCAACCTCCATGGAGTCGCTCTTTTTGGCTAGTCCATGTGGGGACTGTGTAGAGCTTTCGGAGCTCAAAGACTCCTCGCGCTGCAGTGAAACACTAGGCGTATTCTCGGTGGTTTCCGTGGAGCTGCCCAGCGTAAGCGACTCGAATGTGTCCTGAATGTCGTGCGTGGTCTGGCGTATAACCGAGAAGACGCTATTCACGTTCTCGACGACAGCGCCAGAGACAGATTCGGCGAGTTCTAGAAGCAGGTAGAGAAGGATTCAGTAAACTGCAATAGACGAGGGCTGCTGCTGCACTTACCCTTAATCTCGCTCTCTATCACAGTGGCTGCCTCGGAGACGCTCGCTTGAATCTCATTGAGTATCAGTCCACTGTCGCTCTGCTCGTCCTGTGAGTGTTGCTGCTGCTGCAGTTGGGCCAGTCCAATCTCCTGATCCGAGAACGTAATCAGATCAGCCTGCGCCAGAAAACTGGAGTTGTCCTCCAGCAACACATCCATATTGATGCCAAAGCTGCGACGACGCTCCTCAACCGGCGGAATGCTCGTGATGGGCTTTCGAATGAGCAGGCGAGCAATGGACTCCTGCCAGCCGGTTTGCTTGGCTATCGCCAGCGTCGATTGTTGCTTGACAAACGTCGTTTGCAGCAGCCGCTTGGCAATTTCCAGCTTCACCTGCAGATCACAGCTGCTCACATGATAGACGACAAACATGAGCCCGCCATAGTCCGGCTGGGCGCCCAGCATTTCGTCCACAAGGTAAAACAATATCGTGGAGCTCAGCGACATGGGCGTTATAAACGAAAAGAAGCCGGGAAACATGCTCTGCTCGCTGCTCGAATCGTACAGGCGCAACACCTGCTTATACTTCTGATGCACACGCGACGTCGCCAGCAAGGCGCCAAGGAACTGCGAAAGGAAGAGGCATTAGAAGACAAATTCCATTTAAGACGGATGCACTTACTCGTATGGCCGCCTCTTGGACCTCGCTGCTGTAGCTCTTGTCCACGAAGAAATTATAGATGAGATTGGCGCTTTGGGGCTCGTGCAGCAGCAGCACCATCTGATCCTTGCAGTTCTTGCCGCGCACATACAACGTCAGCATCTCCAGCAGCTCGACCAGCACCAGCTCTTGCCTCACCGAGGCCAGGAAGGCAATTATAGCATTCACCTCCTTGATGTTCACATCCTTTTGCAAATAGAAGCGAACGATGCCGAAGAGCGTGGCCCGAATCGTGCGTGCATCGTCGGTGGAGATGTTATCCGGTGTGCTGTAATACTGACGCACTACGTCCAACATGAACTGAACGCCATACCGTCGTCGAAAGTATTTCCGGTCATTCTTGATCATCGCACTCAAGTATTGGGCATGGCCGAGTGTTATTTGGAACTGCAGACGCGACCAAATGGCAAAGTCGAAGACAATGTGCTCGTACAGCGCATCCAGTAGCTGGGCATTGCCGGCTGGCGTGGATTTGTGTGCCTGCAGAGATTCCATGAGCAGGTGCGTAGCCATTAAGGCGTTCACATCGAAGAACTGGGCAGGACAGCGCTGGAGCATGGTGCCAATGATGGCCAGGCAGTCGCTGCTCAGCAGCTGCTGCTGATTGTTCTCATGCTCGTGGGTGAGATAGCGCAGCAGGCAGAGCAGACTGGCCAAGGGATGTTGAATCATCTTCCATTCTGTGTACATATTGGACGACAGCATTTCCCAGTCCGTAAACTCCTCGGCTGTGGGCGTCCTAAGCGAAGGAGTTGTTGGTGTTGGAGCCGCTTCCTCACTTGTGCTTCCAATGGAAACGTCCGCCTCCTGTTCCTTAATCAAGCGATGCAGCATGGGCAATATGGCATTGATGCCTCCGATGCTGTTGATCGCATCCTGTATCTTGATCGTCTTGCAGTACTGCGCACTTATGCGGCCTGGATATTTGCCACCTGGTATCAAATCCTGGCATGTGCCATGCCAAACAGCGCCAGGCGCATAGCAGAACACGAAACGTGAATTCAGCTCCAACAGATCGTTGTCCTGCGAGAAGATCGAGCTGAAGTTTATGCCGGCATCGAATATGGTCTTCAGGCTCGTTGTGGGCTCTGCTAGCAGCACGCCACCCAGCTGGCCTTGCAGGCAAACCTGCTCCCCAAACACCGTATCCTGCATGCCAATGGGAAAGTTCTTCACATTGGGATCGAACGCAGTTTGGGTGCGCAACGGTAGAGTAAAGTAATTGGAAACCTGCAAAGGCATTGATAGATTATAATATTAATTGTCAAGAGTTCAGAGCTAATTCAGTCCAGCTTACATTCGCTGACAACGTTCGCTCCAGCAGACTGGGCAGCATGCCTTTGTAGGCCGATCCACTCTCCTGGGAGGAGGAACGTGGCATTGCTCCACTCTTGCCCGCCTCACTCTGTTTGGGTGGTGGAGCCAGCACGGCGCCCACACCGCACATGGTAAAGGGTTCATTCACAGCCTGCACTTTCAGCGTGGCGCTCAGCTTCTGCACAAAGTCTACATAGATATTGATCTGGCTGTAGGAGAAGGGACGCTTCGGCGGCGTTATGGCCACTGTTAGGTAATGCCATTGTCCATTCAGCAACGTTTTGGTGGCTGTTGCTGTGGTCAGGTATTCGCGACGCGTTAGGGCAGCCACCACCACGTTGCCGTTGGGCTGCACGAAGACCTCAAACCCACAGCCGCTGGCCGTGTGCAAGGTGAGCAGCATGCGCCGTGCATTCGACTCCGGCTGACTGAGTGGATTGAAACGCACGAGCAGGTGAAAAATGAAGCCATACGATCCAGAGAGTGTCCAGTTCTTGATGTCCGGCACTAAGATGCCATCCGCTGGCTGCTCAATGGCGAAATATTGTGAGCAGCAGTTGTTGCCGCGCAGGCTCTGCAGCGCAATCATGACGACGCTCTAGAAGGCATTTAAATAAGTTTTCTATTTTCTTTTATTTCGTTTATTGCTCACCTGTTGCAGCTGCTTGTACTGTGCAAACTTTGTGCCCTGTCGCAGCAGGGCAAATATGCACTTCAGCTCCACGGGCACAATGCTCAGCTTGCTCAGCTCCTCGATCAGCTTGATTAGATTCTGGGCACAGTTCTCGGCGAGCAGCTCGCTGCGCAGCAAGCAAACGCAAGCAGCTTTGACCACGCGACTGCCACAGGCAACAGTTTTACTGGGGATTGCAGAGTTGGATAAAGTGGACATATGCGGAACTCTGTTTGGTTGTCACTCACGTGCCGTAGTTGTCCGTGCAGCCCTTGAGCAGCAGCACGCTGACATGCAGCTGCTCCTCCTCCTGAAGATCAGGCAGCCATTCCAGCAACTGTAGCATGACCTCCGGCAACACCAGCAGATGCTGCTCCGCATTGTAGCCCAGATTGAAGCAAGCATCCAGCAGCGCAATCGAAGGTGCTTCAAATTCCCGCATGCTGCCAAAGAGGCGTTCAATGCGTCCAGCCAGACGCAGCTGCTCTGCACAACGTGGCGAGCTCTGTGTCAAGGCAGCCAACGCATCCATCGTGCTGCTCAAAGTGGGTGTATGGGATATGTGCCAAGGCTAAGGAAGAGGAAAAGCTAATAAATTGCTTGCCATTCAGTCAGAGCTAGAGACTCACCCGAATACTTTGTGGCAAACCAATTAACAGCTCCAGCAGATTTGTCTCGCCAATGGCCTCGCTGACATCGCCGCCTCGAGCGTCCCTATTCAAAAAGAGCTGCACAGCAGCCACACTCGCGGAGAGTGCGGTCATATCGATAGCCACATCGCTGTCCGTGTCGCTGGTTATATCAAAGCTAGCAGCGCCGCTGTCAAAGTGTGTCGTCGCCAACAGCTGCTGCAGTGCATCACAATAGAGTTGGATCAATGTAACTAGATCTATTTGGCGCTGCAAAAGAGATGAGAAGAGTTAGCTAGAGATATTATTGCTCTATACGTATGTATAGCAACAACTTACTTCTTCTGGACTAGATTTTTGAAGTACAATAACCATTAAAGCGTAACAATTGAGGGCCACATGGCGCAGGCTGCTCGCGCTCTCCCACTGCTGCAGGATGCGCATGATGATGGAAACAGTTGCTGGGCATATTGCTCGCATACCATTGCGCTGTAGTAAACGACAGATTATATATCCAAAATAACATATAGGGGATGAGAGACAGAGACAGAGAGAGAGGGGCAGGGTAGAGGGGGGATAGAGGATACAGATGATAAAAGCGTTTTTAACCACTCACCAAATTATTATCACAGTTTAGAAGCCGCCCATCACCTGATCGATGGGCGTTTGTAGTAATTAGAGCGTTAGTAGTATTTCTAGATGTTGAGTTCGAGTTTAGAGTTTTCTGCACGCACACACACAATGGTATAGAATATTTTTAAAGATTTTCTTATACAACAACAGTCAAAAATATGAAAAACGAAATGAAATTTTGAATAAAGCAGTGAATAGAAAAGAAAATATCTATAGACGAAGTGCTATAAATTAATATTAATTTAAATAGGCTCAATATCATTTACAGGAAATTTTTACAATTTACACATGAATATAGTAACAGATGAAACAGAAAGAAGAGAAAATATAGGTCATTAGAGAAAGTAACAAAATAAATACATATATAATAACAGTTCGCTTATAGCATAATTAACAAGAAGACAATTTTGAATGAAAATTACGAAGCAGCGAAATGATATTTGAGTGGGCCAATGTGCAGACGGGCTACAATTTGTGTGCTCAATTAAAGACAATCATAAATAGATAACAAAATTAATTTAGATGGTTTATAGATTAATTCCGTGACAGAACTTCAGTTCTGTACGCTGTACCTGAGAGCCGCTGATAATGGCGCCCAGCACATGCAGCAGACTCTCGCCGATGTCGGCAAACTTCAGCAGCGATTCGTTCTGAAAGCAATCTGTAAGGCAAAACAAAAACAAAGTATACATAAATACCAATAACAACTGAGATAAACGGGGCACAATAACAGACCATAGATAAAGGGCACGATTTCTACGTGCACCGCATGCGGCTTGTAGGGCAATCGGCTATAATCTGCCAATTGGTTGCGCAGAAAACTGCGCCAAGTTAGATAAGGATCGTACATGACCTCCAGAAATGATGAAAAACTGCGGAACAGGTGACTCATTGCCAGCGAAGAGCGCGGCTGTTCCATTTGCTAAACAGGAAATACAGAAAGTAAACTGTTTTATCTTGCAACAGTTTCGGTTTGTTGTTCTCTTACCTGGGCAAACACCTTTGTAAGTATGGCGATTAGATTGGGCTTGTACTCGTACTTAATTATGGCCAATATATTGTCAAAATGCCGGCAGACAATAACCAGACAGTCAATCAGTATGGCCACCTGTTCGATGCCTTGCTCATCTAGATTATCTGTGTCGCACTTATCCCTCGCGACGATGATGAACTTGCCAATGGCGGGCAGCAGCTCGTCGGGCAGCCGACCAAGATGTGGTCCACTGTCTGGCTGCACTTCGTGCCATAGCGGACAGTGCTCAGACTGAAAGTCCAGTTGCAATTGACTGCGCCAAATGTCTACAAACCGTGCCACAAACTCACGAAAATACGTTTCGTCATTCTGCAGAGAAATGTGACAAGAGTGTAAGCAAGGGCCAAGAGTTAAGTCTGACTGTGATTATATAATCATGCAAAATAAATATTGGTTTGTCTACGGCCATTAAGGCGCGGTCACTTTCTGCGGTGATTAATGCAATCAAATTCACAATAAGAAATATAAGCGAAAAAAAAAACACGTCACCTTCCCCGCCTGCAGCAACGGTAGTACAAAACAAAAGCCGCCTACTAATCCCAATCAGAATCCCTCCAATTGCTTACCTTGGTTGTGTATTGCACCCACAGGTTGTAAATATCTTTTTTGTTGTCCATTTTTGTGCGGTTCAGCTTTGAAAAACCATTTGTTACTATTTTCCAATCAGCGGCCTCAACAAAAAAAAATTGTTTACTAGGAGAAGAAGAAGAGCCAGGGGCCAGCGGCAGCAACAAGAAATAGTTGAAAACAAATTAGCCACTGCACTTGCTTAAATACAGCAGCAATTCCTTATTTTTTGTGCCAATAGTAAGGAGGGCGCACTTTGGCTTCAAACACTTTTATAAAATAACAAACATTTGTCATGTCAAATAGCAATTTTTTCCATTGCACGGCGAGTGCTGCAAGCCACAGCTGATAAGCAGCTGTTCTAGAGTTGCCAACTGTAGTGCGATTAATCGACTTATTATGGCGGCTATCGATATGCTTAACTTGAGTGCTGGAAAATGCCGCACTAACAGAGGTGAGCCATTTGAAAATATGTTGACGCCTGTTTGTATGCTAAGCAATATTTTACTATGACGCTAACACAAATTGGTATTGCGCCAATCACCATTATATAATCTTGCGAAGTGTTTCCTCCGAGAAAGTTTGATGCTTTTTGTTTTTAAGTGCTGCAACAGGAAACTTGTCTAAAAGTTTAAAAATGCATATGCTTGTAGGCTGCTAAATGCGTATTTATTTCGAGATTTTTGTTTTGCTTTTTGTTTTCAATTCTAGTAGCATTTGTTTGTTTTTATTTATTTTTTACATGATATTAGCTAGTAGTTGCGCTTTGTTTATCGTTTTACCACTTTTTGGTGTTCATGCAAATATCTGTTGACAAACTATGTGTGGTGGTGTGTGTGAGTGAGTGTGTAGTTTTGCTTATCTTTGATAGATTATCCGCAATAGGTGCAAGTACCGTTGCAAATGCATCTATTTTCCTAGGCAACGTGTTTTGAGAGTATTCGCAATTGGTTTTATTTTGTATTTTTATAAATATTACGATTAGTTTTTTTTTTTTTTTTGGTTTTTTTCTTGCATTTTAGGTTTGGTTTGGTTTTTCATTAATATAAAAAAGGAAACATTATATTTAGTTCTAAATTATTATGATTTTGTTGTTTAATGCATAAGTATATATATTTAAAAGTTGTAATTGAATAGCTTGAACCATTTGTCTTTATTTTTAATATCCTATAAATATCATTTTCCATATATATATCCATACATATATATATATGTATATATATATTCATATAATCTTAATAAAAATTAATATGTAGAAGAAAAATCTTATGCCTCTGTTTCCGTTAGTTAAAGCTGTGAGTTTTTATCCGCATTAAGATTAGAAGGATAACAATTATTATTATTATAGATATTTGTATCGTAAATTAAAATACAATTTTAAACATACTTAGGCTGTTTTTTTAAATATATTTATTTAGTTGTTATTTGAAAATAAAAAATGCTGCTTTAAATCTTTAATTTTAGCAGATGTCTAAAAAGAAAATAAAGAAAATGCAGCGCGACTTGTTTTAGTTTTAATTTTTTTTTTTTTTTTTTAGATTTTTATTTTGCTTTGCTTTTTGGTATCGATTGTTGCGAATAGAAAAATAATTCAAGTAAATATTTTTATTCTTTGTGTATATGTATTGTGTATAAGTATTATACTTTGCCTTTTCTTGCTTATTTTGTTTTAGGTATATAGGTATATATAGTACTTCATCTTAAATCTGTCTTCAAGTGGTTTTTGTTGTTATTGTATTTGTACCAATTAAAGTAACGCTGCTTACGTACAGCATTCCCCCACAAAACATCATACTGATTTTCCTCCATTAACAGTGCTTTCGATCAGCATCCTTCCAATCAACATTCCTTCCATTTCTCCTTTTTCTTTCTCTTCTTTTTCTTTTGTTAAGCTTCTGTGCTTCTGTATTTCTCTTTGTTGCATATTCATAATATTCATTATTCATTATTCATATAGTGAATGCTACGAATGTACCGTTAATTTTGAAATTGTTAAGTGTGAGTGTATGTATATATTTTTTGAAAGCTTATTTGAAAATATTATCGTTCGATCATCATAAAAGTATTATATAACTGCAGTTGCGTGAGTGTTCAGTGATTCATAAGGTAAATATATATATATATGTATATCTATATATACATATGTATATGTCTATATCATAGTTTTAAGTGTGTCTCTAACAGCTCTGAAGGTATTCAGGTTCGTTTCGCATTTACATGCATTGTTAATCGATTGTTTTGGGTAGAAATACTTTGGTTTTTGGTTTTTGCTTGCTGCATGGAACCGCTAGTCGAGCAGCGGTTCATTTTCCGAATCGGAATCTAACATTTTCCAGACCATGCGCCTGACGTTTCAGACTGCCGCTGTCGGCCCAGGGGGAGTTGAGATACTCGTCGTCATCGTCTTGCTCAAGTTTCTGAAATTAGACAAAATAGAAACAGTGAATTAAAAGCACTCTATGAATTATATATATACGGCTCATGAGCCGAACCAATTCATTTAGTATTAAGTACAGCGAACCAGTTTAAACACGAGCCTTTTAAGTGATCTGCAGAACCTGATCAATTAACCCTATCATTGAATCAATGAAAAGCTGAGCAAAACAAAATAGTTTCATGATTCAAAAAATGCATTAGCATAGCTTACCCTTGCACTGAGTTAGATGTGGAGAGGACGCCATTTTCTAGCGAATCTCTGGACAATTCATCGGCCATTTGCACCTTCAGTTGATGGCCGAACGAATTGATCTCCGAGTTGGGCGTCATTTGTGAGCCCGCCGGAGATTGCGCGATGTAGTGGCCGGATTGAGTGGTTATCGAGCCACCCTGTGATATGCACCTGGTCATGCCGGGCCCACCATTGGGCAGGACACCCTCCAGGCAGCTATCATTGGTCGTGGAGTCCATGTTAACAATCTGACTGCCAGCTGCATTGTCAGCCAAAACTGCTCCATCGCTATCATCAACAGCATCGATATCATCGATGTCCATGTCCTCGGCGTTCTTGTCGAGCGGCGCCGTCTCCTCATCCTCATTATAGATCTTAAAGTAGGCATAGGTCAGATAGATGACCGAAATGATGAACGATGGAATGGGTATGGCCATCGAGTAGACCAAGTTCAGCGTATTCTGCCAATAATCTAGATCGCTGATCACCAAACTGGGATCCACCTTTGAGTAGTAGCAGGGAAACTTAATTCCGATCCTCATATAGCGCTTTAGCCAAATCGTGCAGTTCAGCATGGGCGGATATCCACAGCCCTTGACATTGGGAAACAAGCGGGCGCCCACATAATAATAGGTTGAATTGAGGCCCATGAGCCCCTCGTTCAGCTCTGAGATCTCGTCAAAAGGGCGTCGCTCGCCAGTGATCATTGTGTTTACAGCTTCATCTGTATCCGATTCCGAATCCTCTATCAAATAGCCATTGGAGCCATCGGCATCACCAAACTTCATCTGTTCGAATTGATTCGTGGCCATGGATCCGGTGCTGTCCACATCCATGTCAATGCTATTCCCAACAAGACCATCGTACTCGTAGTCCCTCAAAGCACGTTCGTAGCGGTCCGTGCGCTTCACGGGCGGTAGAATACGTTCGGCTTCACGTAAATTGATGTGATATTCCGTGAAGTTGAACTCGTCCGTGAAATTGTAGAGATTGAGGCGATAATTGACGCGAATCTGTGTGCACGTGTAGATGTCCTTGGTGCAGCCCTCACGGCATGACGACCACGAGCAGTTCTTGGCCCCAAAGTAGATTTCCGTGTCGTAGGTCTCACACAGCGCCGGCACCTCTTCAAACTGCATGAAGATCGTCGTGAAGGCCGGCTCAATCACGAACGGAACCAGAAACAGAAACGCGAACAGGCTAAACGTGCCGAGGAGTATAAAAAATGCCGTCGTATAGAAGAGCAGCTTCTCCTTGGTGGTACGTTTCTCGTGCTCATCTCCCATACTGTGGCTGTCTCAAACGATTAATCCCTATCGATATCCGGTCTAGTTACACTCAAATGGCGCAAGGTCTGGCGGGCAGGCAGGCAGCAAAAAGTTATTGGAGCGCGAGAGAGGGGAGGGCAGGCAGGCAAAGTGTGTGATGTATAATTATATATATTTGCTTAATTACTTCTAATTATTTATATAGATTTATTTAAATTACTGAGTGCACGCGCAGTCAGCTTTAATCCAAGTGTTGCCTGGCGCTGCTTAGCTTAAGCTATTTATCGATTAGCGATAACTATGAGCTAAGATTTAAACAGTTACAACTACGGTGCAGTTATATCACAGGGCGAGTCGAGTACGTGTTACGTTTTTGCTTTTGCTTTTTCAGTTGCTGTCGTTGTTGCCTCTCCATTGCTTCCTCTTCAGCTCTCATCACAGCAGTAGCCGCTGCTGAGCAGGTGGAGCAGCAGCAGCATTTTGCCTGCAATATTTGTTGTTGTTGCTCTTGATATTGTTCTTGTTGTGGTTGTTATTGTTGTGCGCAATTAGTCTAAATACAATCCAGGGATGCGACACAGCACGCATGTTACCCGTCATTGGATACTCTGCAAATCCTGACCAGCGGCCCATACACACACACACTATTTCACTGCCTTGGCTGTATATAAGTGTGCGTGTGCTGTCAACCTTTGCTAATTGCTTTATGCGTCCCAGCGGAGATGTTTCGTCAGCAGCATTCGACGTTGCAGTCGTTTTGCTGCTCTGCTTTGCTTTGACAGCAGCAGCTCCTCGCCTCTATCTTCTGCTCTACCCTCTCCTCTTTGGCTTTGCTTGATTATTTTATGACTGCGGCAAAAGGCTGCGCATATGTGTACGTGCGGGCGTCTGTGTGTGTGTATGTTCGTTTACGCGTGTATAAGTGTGTGTGTGTTTGCCTATGCCCAATTTTGAGTAACGGCTTCTCACTCTTCCCGCTGTTGTTGCTATTGTTGCTGTTGTCGACGCTGTTTAGCTTTTAGCTATTTAGTTCATTTGTTGTTGCTTTTGTTTTGTTGCTTTTCATTTGGAGCAAAATAAAATAATGCTGGACGGACAAATGTTGTTTTTTCTTCTGCAATTATTTCACTTATTTCCTCTTTCGCCTTTTTTCTTCATTTAATTCACTGCGCTCTTCGCTCTGTGCTTTGTCCTTTGCGCTTTCTTACACTATTCGTGCGGCCACGTGCAGCTGGAACACTGTGCGTAGCAAGCATTTGGTAAAGGGGGTTGAGTTAAAAATGCCGTTAGACGCGTTCATGCTTAATTTACACTTGTAAAAAAGCTTTAAAAATAGTTTGTTCGCTTTTTCTTGTTGGTTTTTTTTTATATTAAACGCGTTGGCATTTTCATTGGCTTGTTATTTTTATGTAACCACGATTGTGTGCATAACTATACAGATATATATGTATATACATATCTTTGTAAATATATATGTATGCATATATGTATGCGTGTGAATGTACATTTAAATGCTATTTGGGCTGTGCTTGTTATTCTTAGCGGTACTGTTGACTGAAGTCTGCAGGGGCACAGCACTGAGACGCTCGTGTGCCGTTGTATTACGAAACGGAAATATGCCGCCGAGCAGCAGCAGCTGCTGCTGCAGGCGAGGCCATAGTGTGGGCAAGAAGAGTGAGGAAGGTAAGGAAAGCAAGTGTTGCCAACAACTGGCGACAATGAGCTCACATGGGCGGCACTAATAACACTACTTCAATGGAGTTGCCTGTAGCTCTCCAGAAACGGTGTCGTCTGCATAGGTTGAGTGGGGTGTGCAAAAAACTACATATGTATATAAAAATTGGAGCCGCATGTAATTTTCAATTCATTTGGCACGCAGGCCAGAGAGTGAATGAGATAGAGATAGAGTAAGAGAAAGAGGGATACGGAGACGGAGAGAGGTGCCGACACCATGCCAAACAATATTATGCGGCATGGCAGTGACTCGTTGAGCGAGCGGGGCACATGGCGAGTGGGGGGCGCCTTGGCGACTCCTCGTGCTTTGCACGAAACGATTTTTCATTTGCGTTTTGTGATTCAATTCGAGCCCAGCCAAAAAAAAAAAAAAACAGGTAAGCAGGCAAATGGGCAACCGATTAAAATGGTGGCCAAGAGAAAGTCGAGTGTGGTTTGGTTAATTCTGTTCTTTTATGACAAACATTGCCCAATGACATTGTTGTGGTTAACACATTAAGCCACGAGTGTCTCGCCTGGTCACTGTGACGTCGCACGCACACACACGGTGACACACAGCAGTGGAGTGTGCGTGTGTAGCTGTTTACTCAAGGTTCAGGTTACGGTTACGCATTTTCAATCAGCAGAAAACAAACGGAACCTGAGCTCATTTACAGTATTTCGAAACAATTTTTAATGACCTGATTGCGCGTACGGGTCAAAAGTTCAAAATATATAAAAAGAAAACAACGCACACGCACACTCACACACACACAAACACAAACACGAATACTCAAGCATATTCACTTTTTGTCATTTTCGCTAGAGCCTCGGACCGACCGACAAAGAGGCGACGGCAATAAATGGCGGAGACAACGAGACAAGCGACAACGACGACGGCTGAACTCTTCACCGAAAGGACTGCCACTGCTGGCGTCGCTGCAGCTGAACGCTGGCTGAGCTCCAGCACGAGCTGAGCTTTTGCGCTGCGCTACACTAGAACACGCACACACCCACAAACACACACACCGAGAAGGCGTGCGGCATGCGCGACAGCTGGCAAGCTTTGCAACCGCCGAGCCAAACAATTCGTAGAGGCTCAGCGAGAATCGTTGCCAGCCCAACATGAAAGCTCTCTCTCACATGCAAAGCTTGCAGCCGTAGCAGCAGCAACAGTGGCGGCCACCCCAATGGATGACGTAAAGACAGGAATAGTCAGGCGCGTGCGCACGCCCAGCGACAGCTGCTCTCTCGGTTGGAAGAAATGTCAGAATATTTTTGTGGCGTAAACAGCAGGGAAAAAATGTGAGCCGCGAGCCGTGCACGTCACACTGAAAGTATTCATCTGTTTGGAAAATCACTAAGGAAAATTGTCGAATCAAATCAAATTTGCTGCCTTACAATAAATAAGAAACAACAAAACTGCGTTCAAAGTTAACAAACTTATATTAAGCAATATTAAAATAATAAAAATTGTGCTGCATTTCCATTATGAAACTCCTTTACGTGTGCGTGTGTATGTGCTTGTGAGTGATACGTGTGCGTGTGTCGCATGTGCTCCTTTCAGTATATGCGCCAGCGTGTGTGTGTGTGTGTGAACGTAAATAAACCTCAATACATGGAACACCCACAACTTTGTACATGTGAGTAACGAATCATATTCTAAGAAAAGAAAACTTAAAGAACATAAAGAAATGAAAGTAGAAGAAAATGCAATTGACCTTCTTTTTGATATGCAAGAAGTGTTGCCTACTTAGCAGCGCATTCGACGTTTCACCCAAACAATAAGTAACATCGCCTCAATCAAACACTTGTGAAATTCCTCAATAACAGTTGCCATTGATTATTCAATGGAGAACAGTTGGAAAAGCGGAAGGAAAACTTATTATTGTGAATATTTTATAGCCAGCTAAGCTAGCAACTGGACTATTAGTTGCCACTTTAGCTGGTAAGTCAACAAACGAAGGCCCTTCTCGAAGGCAAGCGGAAGGGAAAAGGATATTATTCCCCATAGAGTATGTTAAATCAATTTTGTAAAAGCTTCATGCTCGACAAGTCGTTGGCCAAGTGTTAAATTAAAATTATAAATAGGCCATAAACTGTGAGTAAATTTAATCAACTTTCATGTGTTACAGTGTGCGTCATATAGAAGTTTTTTATAGAATAAATGAAGGGGGTTTTCCCTTTTATACATATATAAATAATGGTGTATATATAGATATTTATATTAAATATAGATATATATAATTTAGCGTCGTCTCTAAGTGCTTGTAGAATAAATAGTAAGTTATTTATAGCTCAACTTTTATATCCAAAGAAATGTCAATGAGCAAACAAATTCCGCTAAATCAAATTTAGCGCCCATTGTATGGCTACTTTGCGGCAAGTTGGCAGCGCTGCGTTTATTTATTTATTAGCAGTGTTGCTTTCGTTAAGGGAATATATCGATAGTTTTAACAACAATCGCAAGTCAGACAAAAAGAAATATTTAACAAAGCCAACAAGTGTAATTTGCCTGAAGTTGGTCGTCAGTTTGCACAAATTTAAGTGCCCAACAAATATTGAAGCATGGGCGCCGCCGTACTGCCTATACTATTCTTTACCTCTCTGTGGGCCGCCGTTGGCATTGGCGGCTCGATCATTACGCCCCATGGACCGCAAAGAAAGCTGATTCAATGTATCCTAATGCTAACCGCAGGCTGCTGTTGGCTCTTCTGGCTGTGCTGCTACATGGCACAAATGAATCCACTCATCGGACCGAGACTCAGTCGGCGTGCCATACAGATTATAGCAGACTCCTGGGACATGCCCATCAAGGAGGGCTAACGAAAGGAGGATCATGTGGAGCGGGAGTAGCATGAATAATCGTATTAAATCTCTAATCTTTTTATATATGTATACATTAATTATACTACATTTGTTAACTTTGTGCATTCCAGCGCAAATTGTAGAGTAAATATATAAATATATTTATACACAATGTAAACACACATTAATAGAGTCGGACGTCACAAACGCCCACCTTGCTGACCCTGCTCTGCATTCGTCCGAGAGGCCGCAGAGAGCAGATGGAGGCGTGGCATGTGTTTCAGTCACGCTTCAGTTTAATCAATGAAAGCAGCAGCTGGCAGCGGAGAGACAACGGGCGAGTGCAACGCAAGAGAGGGTCAGGAGAGAGCGCAAGGGCTTTGGAATGCGGATTATTGATTTTTTGTTAATAGAAAATGCGCGCGCAGCGCTTTGATTTGTTGAAAGAGCCTGAGAGAGAGACAGATGAGAGCAAGGCTGAAGCTGGCGGCATGTTGTCGGCGGTCAGGATGGCGACGACGGCAATTGAGAGAAAATACGAACTGCACTAGCAGCAGCAGCAGCAGCAGCGATTCAGTGCGAAAAGTGTGCAAAGCGAAGCGAGGCGAGGTTCCCAAAAGGCAGCAGCAGAAATTAATAAAAGAAAAAAGCCAAAGCAATGCCACAGCTGCTACAACTAAAATCGAATATTAGCAAAAAGCAAAAACTATCTATTTAATAGTTAATTACTAATGATTAAGTTGTTAATCTAGTTACAAGTTACAGTTAAAGAAACAAAAAAAAAAAAAAAAGAGGCGAAAGATTTTCGCACAAAACTTTTATGTCACTAAAAATCGATAATAGATTCAAATTGTGTAAAATTTAAGCAAACTGCAGGAAAAAAAAAAATAGTAAAGACGTAAAATCCAAGCGTATTACACGCGAGCTTTAAATCTGGTTATATAACGGACACACACACAGCAAAGGCGAATCGATAGGTCAGGCCAAGATGAAGAGCAACTAATTGGCCAAGCACGCGAGGCATTAGCATAAGCGAGAGTAACAGAGAGCGAACGAGCGGGCGCGCGAGAGGGAGAGAGAGAGAAGGATAGATAGTGTGACAACATTGTGGCCGAGATTAACGTAGAGTAAAGCGCAGCTACAGTCATGGGCAAGAAGAAAGTGCCCAGCGAGGAGCTGATTGTGCCGCCACAGGACAATCGCATCTGTGGCACAATTTGTATATGCCAAATGACGCTCGTCCTCAGCTCCGTGGCGTTGGTCTACCTGACCGTCGCCATCTATATGCCGTCGACGCGTGCCTTCAAGAGTGGCATCGATCCGACACCCGTCATGTGCACCACCACGCGTGCCGTCAACAAGGAGGGCTGCGAGTGGGGCAGCTGCGGCGAGTGGTGTCTGAGCAAAACCTCCGGTGCCTGCATTCAGATCTATGTGAACCTGCGCAGCAACGGCACGAATCTCACGTTCCAGAACTGCACGAACTCGGCGAACAAGACGTGCTACGGCATCGATCAGGATCGCGCGGACAAGGCGCGCTGCATCAACGACGAGTGCAAGAATCTCACTGGCACCTTCAACTGCACCGCCGGGCAGTGCCTGAACATAACGGACGCCTTTGAGTGTGTGTTCCACAACAGCGATGCTCCGGTCAAGTGTTCCGGGCGACGAGGCAAGATCAACTGCATGGACATCAGCGGCTTGTTCTCGTGCAGCCGCGGCACCTGCCGCAAGATACGCACGCCATACAACTGCGATAGACGTTGCGTGGATATACCCACCCGGAACAAGAACGTGGTGGTGCTCAGCGGGGACAAGGTTTACCTATCGCAGTGCCAGAATGCCATCAATGCGGAGACCTTGGAGGAAGTGTGGAATGAGTCGAGCGACAACGTGGCCATGACATCGTGCTACTTCATCAAGAACACCTCAGACCGAGTGGATGCCGTAGACTGCATCAACGGATCGACGCTGGAGCACAACATGCTCAGTGACTTGACCAATTTTACATATCTCAGTCATTTGCATGTGTCGGTGGCGACGCCGGTGCCGGAGATAGCTCCGCCCGATGTCGACTTGACCATATCGAACGAATCGAAGCTGATGATCAATTTGGAGGGATGTGTCAACACTCTCATGGATGAGTGCAAGGAGTTCCTGAAGGTGTTCGGCCGGGATGGCAGCGATCACAATGCGCGCGCACGCTTCCCCTGCTTCTATTCGCCGTCGAAGAAGGATATTGTTGTGGCCCGGTTCGATCTGGAGGTCACCTATCGCCAGTTCGTGTTCGCGTCGGTGGTGCCGTCGGTGCTGTTCGTGGTATCCTGCTCGGTGCTGCTGCTGTGCCAGCGCACCGTCTATGTCGGCGACGATGCCAAGATGCGGTTCAAGGGCTGCGTCGACACGGACACCATACTATCCAAGAACAACGTCGGCGCACCGACCAACGGCGACATGGGTGGAGGCGGTGGCGATGAAGTCATGGCCCTATGAGATCCGTCACGTAAGCTTTACATAAAGAGCCTCTTCTAACTAGGGTAATCACACACACTTAGGCCAACTGTGCTACGTCGGAAAATTGCATTGCCTAATTGACAAACGATGGGTAAATCGAATGAACTGTTACTTGTTCACCTCGTAGTGGATCCAACTCTAGGCGACACACTATAGCGAACCTGTGCTCGAGTAGCGTTAATGCGTTTAGATTTAGACTTAGGCGCAATCTCACAAACATAGAAATCCTAGAATTAAGACCTATCAAACACCTCTTATAAAAATAGGTTCACGAGAATGTCGTACTATTAATTCCTGAAGACGTTTTCAGATCTGCTTAAAGAGAAATCGGAAAACATCTTTCTCAAACACTCCCCAACCCCTCATAGGAACTCATAGATCAGAGTCTTGAAAAACTTATTTGTATTTGCTCTTCAAATCGCATCTCTTTTTGTGTATCTTTGCAGGCATTCCTCTGCTCCAGGAAGACAGTCCGGTTCATCAGACTGGCGTCTTCGCATTGCAATAAATGGAGTTGGGCATAGTAAACAATCGAGTAACACTTTGTAATCCTTCCATCGAACTACTAACAGACCACACACCTGAGCGCAGCTTGCTAAAGGACACTCCTGAGCTAACAGCAAACACAAAAACGAAACGAAAAACTATATAATAACTCTATACATACCTATAGAGATATATCTATATACACCACATGCGAGGCACGTGAACAATTCTCGAGTTACGAACACAAAGAACCGAAGAAGAGAGGACAATATTAGTATAATTTCTATATTTCAATTCGATTTACTATTTATTTTTGGGGATAGGCTAGAAGGGCGCGCCATCTACTGAGAGTAATTAGCGTTGGGCATGGCCTGGTTGGATTGATTGATGCTTTAACTTTAAGTTAAGTAAAGAAGAAGAAATTCAACAACAACATCTATAGGGAATACCTTCAATGCACTCACACACACACAAGCATCAAATACCCACACACACACACTGATACGCACACACACTCACAGATGGAACTAGAATCAGCCCTTAGGAGCAGGCAAACAAAATTCAGCAAATGGTCAAACGGTTTGGAGGGATGCGTGATCAAAACTAAGAAGATTTATTAAATAACAAAACGAAGAAGAAGTTAACCTTAAACTAAATTAACTACGTAAAAAACAAACAAATTTAGATAAAAATTAACAAATCCAACGCAATTTTAACAAAACAAAAATAAAAAGAAAACTTAGATTAAACCTAATAAATCAATAAAATATCCATTTCGAAAGAAGAAAATAAGCGCAGCAGAGAGAAACTTGAGGAAAATTGGAAATCGAGAAGCAGAGCGCAGAGAGGAAAAGCTCTTGGCAAAAAGTTATTTATTGTTGTAGGCTTAGCGAGCAGCAAACGTTAGCGTGTTCATTTTTAAGGCTTTTAGAGATAGAATACTCAAAAAATAGGAAAAATCTTTTATCCACACACACACACACACATACAGACAGACAGACATAAGCAATCATGAAGAAGAGCTCCACATTGACGACCACCACATCGATGCCAACGTCTCCGACGCTGTCGGCGCAAACGCTCTCGGCCAGCAAAATGAGCCTGAGCAGCAGCCGTTCGGGCCGATCCTCGTGTCAATCGCATGGACCCGTCAGACCAGGCAGCGGATGCGTCGATGCGATTAAAGCCAAGCGAGAGGAGATCGAAATCGATACCATACTCGAGAAGGCGAAGTTCTACACCTCCGTGTGCCTTGGTAAGTTCTTCTTTACTTTTACTAGTGTAATCCTCCATATATCCTTCCGTTGTCCCTTCTATTATTGTATTTCCTTCCTTAAGTTGTACTGTGTTCACTTATCTTTCCCACTTCTTGTTCCTTCATACCTTAACTAATTCGTATTCTGTCTTTGTCTTTAGGTACGACTGCCATTTTGTCGGTATTCACATTTCTCTTCCTGATACCCTTTGTTGTGGATCCCGCAATTTCAACAATCATTGCCGACTACGATCCGGTGCCGGTGACTTGCGTTGTCATCGATCACATCTATGCGGAGGGCATTAAGAATTGCAGCTGGAGTTCGTGTCGCGAGGGCTGCACCTCATCACTCACCAAGTAAGTATATATAAATTTGGATATTGATCAAGTCATTCAATCTTTCATTCGAGCAGGTGCCATCAGTTGTTTGTCAACTATACGCGAATACCCTTTAGCGAATGGGAGCGCAATCCTCGAGACTTGGAGCGCGTCAATTGGGACGTTAGCTACACAAAGTTCTTAATCAACTCCGAGGGCTGCGGCTATCCGCCGACAACCAATTGCAGCGTTTTCGCCAGACAATATGGGTACGTTAACCTTCAGCTATTTGCCTCAGAGGAGACTGATTTATTCTTCTCTTATCACCAGCTTCAATCACATTGGCGAGCCTTTTCCCTGCTACTATAGTCGCGCCTATCCGGAGGTGGTCATCGGGCGTTACTCATGGGAGAACAATCTCTACCATCTGGTGCTCTCGCTGATCATACCAAATGTTCTATTTGCCATTTCGATTGGTGTCTTGAGCTATTGGTATTGCCCCTGCTGTGAGAAGGCGTGCAATAAGTCATCGCGTGTTTATGCCGAAAAGTTTCCAACCAAGGAAGAGTGAGTCTCATTTAAACCAAACAGACTAAATCCCCCGTATTGTATTGTAGTACTACTCCCTAACAACACACTCTCACACATCCATAAATTTATATAATAATCCATTGTGCCTTGTATTTGGAATTGTCAAAAGTTATCGTTATCGTTATCGATTGTACATGTTAAACTCTACTATATTGGCCGCTATAACCCTAACTTATCCTAAGTTTGTGAAACAACAATTGTAAGACTCGTTTATCCAATTTTATGTTCCCCATTCACCGGATTGTTTTCATGCCTTTTACGTGTTTCTTTCTTTTCTCTCTCCTTCTCTTTCTTTCTTTCTTTTCTCTTTGTAAAATTATTTACAGGATCGTTAACTGCATGAAATGTAATACGGAAAAGTCCTTAACTTTGAATGTATTTTGAATAACTAAAAGCGACAGTGCCTGAATTTTGAAAATGAAATTGAAGTAGGACTACAAACAAATAAACTAAATCTAAGAAAAGCTCTATGTAACCAAAAACAAATCTCAGCACGCTCAGTACACCCAATGCAAACAGCAAAAGTAAAAGCAAAAATGCTTTCAAAAAGTTACTCTGAAGTGTCCTTAGCAAATATATTTTCTTGTTGATCTCAGCTTCAAGCTAAGCCACCATATTGTATGAATATTACCAAATACACCTCAAGGGCGTTTAGTTAGACCCATTTTTTCAACTCTCTACAAGACTTTTTCTTCTAAACTAACAGAGCACAAAACCGAAAAATACATATTAGCAACTATAAAGTACATACATACATATTTATGTATACAAATATGTTTCACATACTTTCAAGTATTACCTAAAATAAAAGAAATTCTGCACTAGTCCAGGCTTAAAACAATATTCACTATACAAAGCTCAGTTCTAATTCGACCAACAAAAAAAGTAAATGAAATTAAAATTTATATATACAAATTGTATTTAAAAATCTTAAAATATATAAACGAGCATGATTTAGTAATATATTTGCTAGTTCTATGTCTATCATTTATGCATGTTTTACCT